TAATTCAGTTCTCTGTGTATTTATTGCACACTTGATATTTGCCAAAAATACACAAGATGCCACAAAATTCAAAGAAATAAGTCACAATTTCTATCTTCAAGGAGCTTATAGTATTATTGTGTGATGATAAAAGCCCATCTCCTGATTAGAAGAAATAGACAGTAAGTGCCATTGGAGCTCAGAGGAAGCTTATCAATATTCGACCACTGGAATTACTCTACAAAAGGTTTGTAATCATGGCCTGTTTTTCTATGTGTGCATTGTAGACACTCCCACGTCAGCCTACAGCAGCAGCACTTGAATGAGTCTCACAGGCTTTTAATCATATTCAGTTCTGTTAAGTGGAGTTTCCCAGAGGTCTAAAACTCAGTCTAACACAGGCTTCAGAATCCTTTATTCTACTCTCAGAGAATCGCTACACACAATAGATTGAATAAGATTGGACTGATTTGTATCCCCGCTTCACCAACTGGTGACTGAGCACCTCAGTCTGTTGATGCTCAGATGACTATTGGATGTTTCACATATATTGTATAATCAGTTTTTGTCACTAATTCACAAACTTTTATAATTATATATGAGACTAGGGATTTTGCTTAATAGTAAAGCTTACTCACTACACAAATATATACTTGCATTTTTATTAATTTAAGAAATATTTTCTTTTGCTAACACTGGTTATTTTTTTTTCTCATATATGTACAGACCCATAGTTACTTTTAGGGATGAATTGTTTAATTTTTAGGTTTTTGTATTACTAGTTAAACTCCTCTTAGACTGCTTCTGCTAATACACAAATCAATAGAAAAAATAAAGGCTAATCATCTTGTTTCTGTTGTAATTTATAACCTGAAGAGTTACGCATTGCAAATATTTAGCAAAGTAGTCTTGCCATCCAGCCTTGTATTTACACATGGGATTTACTGATGCAATGTTAGGTCAAAAGTCAATATAAAACAGGAATGGAGGTTCTGATGTCTCAGCCTTTGGAAATCTTTTCAGAAAATTGCACAAGCAGATCACTGCACTGTGAAAATAACGGGCTGCTTAGCACATCTCCAGTTTTCACCTACATAGGGGTCTTTGTGTAACATATCAGTCATTCTTCCAAGGTATTGTCATCAGTAGTTTGAAATTCAAAAAAAAGTAGGACAAAAGAATACTCGTTAGATCTGCCAAAGTAGAAGGTGACAAAAGAGGAAGAGGAAAAGTTAGCCAGAAGGCAAAAGAAAAGTGGCAAACTTAAGAAGATTCTCAGCCTTTGGGAATCATTTTAGAAGAAATAAATATTGAATTAACCGACTTACAAGCTTCTTTGACCTCATTCAACAACAGGTTGAATAATCTTGCCATATAAAACATAAAACTAAAGAGAAAATTGATACTCTGATTTTTTTGGCCATTAAGAACTTTAAAGATTTAATAGTGTAAAATAGACGGCTGTATAAACATTAAAGATATGCAGTACCTTAATGAGAGATTATTAAATCCTGCCTTTGAAAATCAAGTTAATTTCTAATCTCATCCAATATTGTAATTGAATACAAAATAAAAATAAATCATCAATGCAATCGGAAAATGGTTACCATAGTAACAGTATAACATAAACAAATAAGATTTCTTCAAAGCAGATGGCATACAGCAAAGTGGCCAGTATGAACCACAGTATTATTAATATATGGGTGTTGACAATACAACTGTTACGAGTTGAAAAAAGAACTTCCAATTAAGTTTTTCTGCATGCTTGACCCTTAAAGCCCCACTCACATTCTCCAGGATTTCTTGAGCTTGCAAACTGTTCTCTAATTGATTAGCAGGTGGCCTGCAATTCTCTGCCTTCCTCACCATCCTCTCAGGTTGCTATAGTAATACAACCCCAACTTACCCTCTATTACTTGCCTGTTCTGTCTTATTTGTAGAAAGAGATCATGTGAACCTACCGGACAAACTAGTGCTGGCATTTCTATTTAGATGTGCTACCTAACATTGCTGTTTGCCTTAGTGAATACAACATGCCCTTTATGCCATTTTATGTATTTCATCTTACAAAACTGTCAAAGAAAAAAATGACTAAATTCTATTTGATATACCACTTTACTTTATCATTACTACTAAAGTACCAGAATGTTAAATGTTTTTAAGACAAACATGAATGCATGATCACCTTTCTTAAAGATTCCTGAGCATCACTATGAAATGTCTTCTGTTACCACTGACTCCACTCTTTAAAAAATGTTAAACACAGTAGTTTTGAGATGAAGCACACACCCATATACCTAAATACCTCTTTTTGTTATTCTAGAAAAGCTAAGGCAAATCAATAATATTTATGTGCCTTTGCTGTACTGTCTTGCCAATGTGAAAAGGCTAGCAGTCCTTTTCAAATCATTTCCTAAGAAATATTTATTCTCTAAGTCTACTGTTCACACAGAAAAACCAGTGAGTGCAATCTAAGCAAACTTTGCATCTTCAATAAAGAAACAGATACTTAATACATAAAGATACCACTTTTTATAAATAAAGGAAACCAAAACAGGTTATCATATTTGATCCTTCTGACCATCCCTTTCTTTAGACAAATAGCAGCAAAGCCCTCCTTAGAACAACTTATTTCACAGACTACCTGATATGAAGTTCACATTATCAGAACACTGGGGCCAGGGATTTAGCTCAGAGGCTCTGGTGCCTGCCTCGCAAGCCCAGGGACCTGAGTTCAATCCCTTGTACCAAACAAACAAACAAACAAACATTATCAGAACACTGATATTTCAAATTATAAGAGTACTAGAGTACTATGTTTGGGGCCAACATTTGACATCTGCATTTTTAATGATTTGTATACTTTATAGAATACATTAATACACATGACATAATTTGTGCAAATAGGACAGTAGTTCAAAATAAATTACCATACTTTTATAAGAAATATTAAGAAATTTCACCTCTTAGGATCTCCTGAAGTCAAGAGATTGTCTGAAAAGCAGCCATAGCAGTTGGGATTTCTCTTCATCTCGCCCAACAAAGATCTCATAACGAGAGCTAGTCTGTTAAATATAATGCCCAGTGAAAGAATCAGAAGAAAATGAAATTAAGAAAACAAAAGAGGGAAAAAACAGACTTTAAAAGTGGGGGTGTGCTGCTAGTTTCAAACACAAAAGACACGCTTGGTGGGTTATACCACTTCAACAAAGGTTCCAGGCTTGAATGAACTTTTCAATAATTGTATTATAAGCTTAGTAATTTCAGTTACAGTATCATGTCTGCTTGTTCTGTCATATTCTTTTGAAATCAAAGAAGATTCATTTAATATATTGAGTGACAGTGAAAAATTATTTTTAAGTGAAATGTTTCTCTTTGATTTGGAATGAAATAAATGTAGTTAAATAGGTCATTTTTGAGATGGCATTTTTGTTCAACCTTTATTTATTTATTTATTTATTTTAACCAGGGATCGAACTTGGGTCCCTTTGCTTGTGAGGCAGGCAACAGAACCACTGAGCTAAATCCCAGGCCCCTTCACTTTTAGATTAGTATTATTTTATAATGAAAACAATTCTCTTCCCAATACCTAGATTTGTCATGGAAAGTAGGAGAGGTAAAACAAATCTGAGTCAAATATAAAAAAAAAACATTTCAGGTATACAAAAGACAGTTTTTCAGATCTCCTAGTGTAGCACCTGTGATGTCTAAAGAGGTAAGACTAATGGTCTCTTTCCATTTGAGAGGAGCCAAAATGGTTTTCTTACTTTAGGAGTTTAGACTGATTTTTTCATATATATTTTATGTATGAAGCTAACAATTAAGAACATGAGGGCAGGGACAAGGGGAAAAAATGAGAACCAAGACATGTCATGTAGAAGTACAAGATCCCAACAATGGATGTAACTGTACTGTATCCCTAAAATGTACCAATAAACTCAATTAAAGTTGGGAAAAAAAAAAAAAGAACATGAGTTGCTATCCTTTCCTTCTCTCACTGAATCTCCATCTTTTTTTTTCTTTTGAGATTGCTGAATGAAAATAAATGTAATAAGCAAAATCAAACAGGGAAAATGCACTCTGAAATCACAGATTCTTCATTTTTAACACTACTAAAAGAAGAATACAAAGTTCAGATGAAAATTCACACAAAGTGAAAGAAAGATGATAATGACGAACAATTTACAAGGCACTTTACCACAGATTATAGCTCATCCTCAAAATAATCCTGTAAATTTTGTATTATACTATATCTTAACTAAGAAAAGTAAGTACAAAAAAATGGTTTGGCCTAGACAACATGGCTAGACCTCATATTTGTTATCTCCTGATATTAAATCGTCTCCTTTCTTTACTGCTGTTTCTTCCTGTCTTCTGATACCATTCTGTTTTACCTTGTTAAACTATTATGTCTTTTTTCCGCTTTTGTTACAACCATCACCTATATTTAGTTCCTAGATTTTCTGTTTTATATCTACAATCAAAATTGAACTAGACATATTGTATATTCCTTAGCAGCCACATTGCTTTTGGCAGTGATAGATTTTTCACTCTTGAAAGTAATTTAGATTCTAAACATGATTTTATATAGTTTATATTTTTTTCCTCCTCTGTTATTCTCTCCAGCTTCTCTTTAAATTTAGTTTACCAGAAAACTTTTACTTTTAAGTAAACTGTTTTCAATTCTAATTTTTTGAGATTGCCTTTGATTCTTAAACAGTTTTTCACTGTATGCTAAGAAGAAAAGAGACTATCTAGTTTGGTAATCTGAAATATTATCGTACTGGGGGTCAAACTTGGGCCCTTACTCATGTGAGGCAGGTGCCAGAACCACTGAGCTATATCCCCAATCCCTATTAAGTATATTTTTGGAGTAAGAGTTTATTGGACAATGATCACCACTTTAATTCGGACAACAATAAAATCACAACTAGACTGAGGTATAAAGAGCACTTTTCTCTTCTTCACAGTCATTCCACTTGCTGCCAGTCACATAGAGGTCATTAAAGTATCTAACTTCCGTGCTTGCTTTGGCAGCATATTAACTGGAATTGGAATGATACAGAGAAGATTAGCATGGCCCCTGTGCAAGGGTGATGTGCAATTCGTGAAGCTTTCCATATTTTTTAAAAAATCTAACTTCCTTATATTCACAGAAAGTTTTAAATGTGTATTCCCCAAATGTAATCCCTTTAAAGAAAAAGCAGTACTGGTATTAAAAGTGGTATTAAAAGCAGTATTACTCAAAAATACGAGTGAGAATCTTTAGATGTCTCCTAAAGTTATAAAATAAACTTTCAAGCTACACATACATTTCACTCAGCAAAAATTTATTGATGCCTGTGAAATATCACATAATATGCAGAGTACTAAAGAGAAACATTTAAAAGAGTTAGAATCCTACCAAGAGTGTATCTTCTATCAGCATCCAAATGATCTGTGGAACTTGTTAATAATGGAGATTTCTAAACCATACCCCAGACCTACTGAATCATAATCTACAGGTAAGATACAGGAATCCACACTTTTAATAATGAGACTCATTAATTGGTAAGACATTTCTATATCAAAAAGAAAGACAAAATTACAATTTTGAATGGTTATTCTAATAGAATTAACATCAATGATGTAAATTTGTTTTCCACAAGTGTGAACATGTGGCTCTGTCATCTACAGTGAGCACAAAGACAAATATCTAGATTTCTATGTCTGTAAGTTTAAACAAAATAAATATTCTAAAGATTCAATTTTGAATTATGAGTATCAGAGTGAAGTTATGTTTGCAAAGAGTAGGAATAGATCTGAACTGTGAATATGTCTATATAAATTATTCAATTAAAAAGAATGCTTTAACATGAACAACAAAAAAATGAAAAAGAGATCCTGGCATCTTTGATATTTTATGGCAATAGCAACATTAAGTGGCTCCATTGGAGGCCAGCACAGATAGTCAGTTCAGTGTATAAGTGGATGAAACTCAGACATATCCATCATTTGGATTTGCTCTTCTGCTCAGTTCAACCAGTTCTGGTCAGCTTGGCCAAAAGTAGTAATTCACGTTGCCTATTATGGTTGTATACATAGCCCCAAGGAAAATTGTTCTATTTACTCTTTACTCGGCACTATAAAATGTTAAGTAGAGCTAAATTTCGAAAGGTACTTGAAAAATCAATAGAAAATGTCAAGACAGGAAATATTGACCAACTAGTGTAAATAAAACTTTTCCAGAAATTAAATGTAACTTTCCAATATTTATTATTAAAAGGCAATCACTGTAAATCAGTCATGTCAAAAAATTTGCATACAGTGATGACAGTCTGTACTGTAGGTCATAATTCTATATACATTATAAATAAATAGATAACACGATGAAGTAAAATCTAAAATATATTCAGGATGCTGCTTTATCTACTGTGTATAATGTTTCTTTTTGGGAAGTCTTTAGGCACTGTTCTGGTCATTGAGGCTGCTGCTAGAATAAATACACAATATCTCTTACCACTTGAGGTTTGCATACTAGTTAGAGAAACGATCCATAAAACATGAACAAATCAAGTAATAATGGAATTTACAGGATTAAGGGAATTTATAAGCTTCTGTGACAGAAAAGAACAGGCTCAGGATCAAACTTTACATAGACTTATCAGGGGCTTCCCTTAGAAGGAAATATCTAAGTCCATAACTGAAAGATGAAAAACAGACAGCCCACAAGGTCTGGGTAGAGGAACTGTGGGAATGACAGCCACAAAGGCCTGGCAGAGGGAGAGAATCTGGTGAGGAAGAAATTGTTGGAAGGCTGATACAACCCGAGTAGTAAGGATTGGATATTTGGACTGGGACATATCTTAAATAGGCCATGGTAATGGAATTGGCTTTTATTCTGGATCAGTGGGAAACTGTTGAAGGGTGTTATGCAAAGAGTTGTGATCAGAAATACTTTTTTACCGTTTTACTGAAACTGCTGTGTATAGAAAGGATGGGGATATAATGAGGAGCATTTGGGATTGTTTTCTGTGTCCAGGGGTGATATGGTGGTGACCTTGGAGATGGACAAAAGCAATGAAAAAGTTTATTTTGGAAGTAGAATAAAGAAATTATGCTGATAATTACATGTCCTTTGGGAATTTACGTGGAGTGGTTAAGAGAATTATTTTAGAGTAAACATAAAATGTGTAAATCCAGGTGTTGTGGGTATAGAAATATAGGGAATAGAGATTTTGTAGCTGTTAACTCCCACCTTAGCTTCTGTCCTCATTGAAGTCATCTTCACAGAAACATTTACCTTTATATGTACATGTGGGCAATCAAATCACTCTCCTTCTCATAGAAATCAGTAAGCATTGTAGTTTCCTATAGTTACATCGACAAGTTTTTCTTGAAACTGTTATGTTTCATAGGTAACTGACTCCACTCCTATTTTGCCTTTATGTCACTCACATTTTCAATAAATCAGCATTTCAGATTGAGAGTAAAAGCCAAGAAAATCTGCTGAAGCTTTTAGGAACTTTAAATATCAGATACTTTTTATATACATATATACTTAAAATATTACCATTGTTACTATTACACACTGTACATATCCTTATCATTGGCACTATTACACACTGTACACACCCTTTCATAGGTAAGCATTGCTTTTATAATTTCATATGTTTTCCACTAAGTAGTAGTAAAAGTAATTTTAGAACGTTTAAGATAATTTATCAGACTTAATACTACCAAACAAATGTGGTTCATTTTAAATAATGAGACTAGAGGAGGAAAAGAAGCATCAGGAAAAATAGGAAACCACAGAATAATTAGATTTATGCTTTCAAAAGCACTTGGCTCCCTGCCCTCCACTCCACCCTTAAGGAAATAAAAGGACAAGCCATTTAGAAATGAATTCTTCTAAGACTTTCCCTATTGTGTCTATTTAGTCTTTACCGTTTTCAATATTGACAGTGAGTTTCTTTTCACCACCAACGTGGCCAGTTCCTTTGAGGTAGAGAAAGATTTCACCTTTTATTGCCTTGTGTTATTTCCCCTCTACTGAACTATGTAAAGAAAGATGAATGGTAAAATGGCAGTGCATGAGATGGGTGCCTTATACTATTCACTCCTGCGTGAGAAGATTGTTTTCTGTTTTCAAGTGTTAGTTTATATATATATTTTAAAGTCTTCTGTAGCAAGAAACTTTCCAAAAGATGATTTTGAAATACGTAACTTCTGTTCAAGAGCCCATTTTCTACAAACGGCTGCATGCACTTATAGTAATGACTATATAATTATAGGTAGGCCCACAGCTAAATAACAGATGAAAGCACCATACTCAAAAGAGTTGGGACACATGCCTTTTGCTTTATTTTAGTAGTAGTAGGTATTGATCTTGTTAAAATCATTATTTTTCTCTTCAAACTGCCTTATGAAGCTATTCATAAGTGAAGTACTTGTTTTCCTCAAATTTGAATATATAAGATCAGTTAGAAGTAATATTAGTTGTTGAATTTCCATATACAAAATATAACTGATATTATTTTGAAATGTAATACAGCCTCTTCAAAAAGATTAGTGAGTATTTGGATGGGGTTGGGAGTGTCACCTTTGTTGACTGTTTAAAAAAATCAAAGTAGTTTTTTTGTCTCTTGAAACATATCCAAGAGTCATACATTCTTAAATAAATAAAAGTTTAAAAGAATAAATGTTTCACAACTAATGGTGCAATGGGTTGCTACTGTATATGTATTTCTTTGAAAACCTGGTCAAAGTCTTTTTTTTTTTTTCCACTGCCTTTTTAAGCTTAGTGAAAAAGCTTTTCCTTAGAGTTTGAGCAGTCCCCCTGTTTTTTCTTTGTTTCTATATTCTCCTCTGTTTCAATTTTAAGATAAACTCATATTTCCTATTCCAATGTTCAAAGAGCAATTATATTTTCCCATATTAACTGTTCTTTAGAATTTCTTTTGTTAAGGCTGAGAGAAAAATTATTCAAGTACTTTTTTTTTCCTATGGTAGATTTAATATTTTTCAAGTCTCTGTAGGTAATAAGAAATTTAATCTTATTTAACTAATATCATTAAAATATTTGGGTACTTAATATATAAATGCTAAAGAAGGTCAGTTATATTATGAGCAGGTGAAATTAAGAGTAATTGCTAACATGACATTTTAAAAAGCCATGAACAACCTCCTGCATTCTTTCTGTTTAACTTCTTAGAATATATGTAGAATACCAGTCAACATTATGACAAGAAAAAGGGTTGGTTATTTGCATGTCAATTTATCACCATAAATAACAAAAAAGGAGAGTATTTTTCTCCAGAATTTTCAAATTCTGGTTTGAAATTGAAGAAACTTGTACAGAAAATTACATTAGTGAAAAATATAATCTTATGTGCTCTCTTGCCTCAACTTTACCAAAGAATCATTATGTGTTCATAGTTAATCATTGAGCTTTATAGTTAAAAAAATTATTGTCTGTTTTGTTTTTGTTAATTCATAATCCTTTGTATGAAAGAGAATGATTGTTTCTAGTTTTTAGTCAAAGGGTTGCACAAGAATGAAAGGCTTTAAGGACTTTTGAAGAAACTGAAGTACTTGGCCTACTTGTCTATAAAATCTGCTTCTTGAGTAAAATAACCCAAATTGTAGCAACATTGCATTTATTCTCATATAATTAATTACCTAAACCATAGTATTCAATGTGGCTCTGAGCCATTATATAAATATTGCTATTATGTGATGTAGTTACAGTTCTTATTATTAGAGACCATTTATTTACAATATACCACTTTGTCATAGCTAGCTCACCAAAATAGATTAACCTTTAGCATTTTAAATATTTAGGAGAAATTGATTTAGCATTTATTTTCTATTTAGTGTTTTTATTACAAGTCATAGGACTTTGGGGGCATCATTTTAATAACCACTGAAACCTATGTAGCTACTCTTTTTAGCATGGTGTTTTTTTATTAAACTGCTAATTCACCTGTGCAATTTTCAATTATTGTTTTTAAACATGCTTTATTGCTTCAGTTTATTTAAAGGTTTAATCAGTAATTTTATTGTGCTTTGTTTTTAAATGAAATTCAAGTCAACAATCCAACAAAAATAAATAGGTTTCTTTTTGATGGGTTGAAGAAATCATTAAC